TCCCCCTTTTTGGAAACAAAGTAATTTTGATCACATATTCGTAACCAGCCAGGATATAAATTTTTAGATAGCTTTATCAATATCGAGACAATGATACATTTTTTTCAGATAAAAGATGAAGCTTTCTAAAAATATCTTTGATTCATTAGTAAACAGGTTGTAGGAAAAATAGAAAGATTGCATTAGGGTTAGTATGTCCCTGTCTACTTACTAAACTAATTGAGCCAATTGTTTTCTGTGGATACCATCATGTAAGGCATGAACTTGCTACTATACTCTCAAAATTTCAAAGGAGTAGTGGTTTTTCAACAGGTATAAAAAAAACGATTTCTAGTGGTTTTCGAAACGGTATTCCAAAAATCGTCAAAAGACAATAGAATGACTCGCTCCTTTGATTCATGTTTTTTGGAAACTTCAAGTATAATGCACATCTTTCGGCTCATCTGGTAGGCACCCCACAATATCATAAGCGCCTGGCAATTATTTTTTTCTACTTAGCAATGCAGTCTTTATACAAGTTCAAAAATGTAAGAAATAAGACAGTGGATGTAACATCTATATTCTAAGTTAATCTGCTATACCAGAATATTTTTTAGATACCGGATAACGCGATCGCAATATACCATACAAAAATACAGCGCAGAAGATCTTGTCTTGAGATGTAAATGTATAAATAATATTTCAGTCCAATTTGTAAAATCAGTTGGTGCAATAATCAAAAAGTTGCTGGAAACATAAGTTTATCAACACCCCAGATAAATTAAATTAAGAGTTACATTATTTTCTTGTAAATATAATATGGTCGGTTGTTTGTTCAAAGAGCAAAAGTAGAGAAACATTTTGTAAATATTTAGTTTATATTTAGTCGTTGATTAGAATAGGTGTTATTTTTGAGTGTAGTTCAAAAACATTACCAGAGGAATCACGTTAAATTTGCAAATAAAAGAATTGATTATTTTAAAATATCGATCAGGCATTAAACAAGCAACTAGTATAGCCAAACAGCTAAATGTAAGCCGATTGGTAATTTGCAAAACTATTAAGCTGTTCCGCCTCAGAAAATTGTTGGTAAGCCCTCCTTAGACTGGTAGACCGCGAAAAACCACACCTAGGATTGATAGGAATATTAAAACAATTGCTCTTAAAAATCCATTTACTACTGTTGTTTCTCCACTTTTGCTCGGTACTGTATATTTTAGGAACTGAGAAAAATCATATAGGTATTTATGATTTTAGAATGATTCATCTTATAGAAGTTACAGCAAAGTAACAAATACAAAACCTTTTTTTTATGAGAAGGAAAATGATTTGAATGCATTTTTGAACTCTTTGGATGTTTGAAAAATCATAGTGTTTCCAGACATCAAAATTTTATAATGTAGATACAAAACTACTACTGACAGTATTAATGTGTGTTGAATTTATCAAATACCTATAATTTTGGCGTTTTAAAAGTCCCACATGCATCAACCAAATATGTGCTCGTAAGATATCAGCAAGGTTTTTTTTAATGTAATGGTTTGGAGTACCTAACTAAAAGAAAGGATTGAAAATATACTGGTACCAGCATTACTAATGGAATTCGTAACCAGACCAAGCATATTATTTCAGCTACTATGAAATCTATCATGGCATGACTCAATTCGGACAAGGCTAAACAACTTCTATAAGTTCTATAAGGTAACTCCTGGAACTTGTCCTGTGGATTTTGTGTGGGCAAAAAGGACCAAAGAAATGTTCATGGGACTCCACTGTGTCCACCATGGCAGCAGAAATGATGTACAGTAGATCGAAATTAAAACATGTATAGTCAACGCCAAACAAAGTGGCGTGCACGTCATCACGATAAAAATTCCCCGACCTAATGCCTAGGTTTCTATCACAAACAATTGCTCTATTGCAGTTTCATATTAATGTGATATATAAATTGTAAAATGGTCATTACTCTCTTATTATGGTTAATAGTCATATAAACATTGTTATTAAAATATCACATAAGTTGCTTTCTGATAAATTTAGACGCATTATGCGAAATAAAATGTTTTGCAAACGCTCCAATCACTTATCGACATGTAAACGCACTAAACCGATTTCGCAGCGTTGACACATTGTCACCTTGAAACTTATTTAAACTGGGAACTGACATTTGTATTAATTTTGACACTGAATCAATTTGTGGCATTTCAAATCTTTATAAATCCTTTGGCCCCGCATACTGTAAATCAACAACTGTTTGTTTCAAAACAAAATTATTCATTTTACGAGTAGATAAAGGCAATTTTGGTATATAAAGATGCCCAAACAGTTAAATAGTCGGTGTAAGGAACTCGTGGCCTCGTTAATGCACTACTTTGAGCAAGAAAGGGACAACAACGGGCCTTTGTTGCCTTTAAATGCTGTTCAAGAGGTAGGTTACTAATAATTATATGTAATGTATATTAATAATAGTGAAATTTTATTTCATTTTTTGTAGCGTGTTGCTGCTGCTTTAAAAATTAGTTTAAGGACAGTTAGTCGTATTTCCGAGGGTGTGAAAAGTGATGCAAATTTAGAATCGGCCAAGAAAAAGCGGAGTTATATTAAACGTGTAACCAACACAGCGACATTGGATACAAGTGCCATTCGAGAAGTGATCTATAATATGTATCACAAAAGTAAGATCTTATTATAATAACTTATCAGAAATTTGCATTAATTTGTTAACTAAATTATAATGTCATATTACACATGGTTTCAGAAGAACAAGTTATGATACAAACTTTATGGTCTCGATTAAGAGATAGGGCATTATTTGATGGTAGTGCCACGTCTTTAAGGCGGTTGCTTAGAGATCTTGGATTTAAGTGGCTTAAGGACAATCCGCGACGAGGGCTCATGGAACTACCAAGTATAGCTTTGAAAAGGGTGGAATTTCTAAGGCAATACAATCAAGCCAAGGTTGAGGCCTTATACCAGTTTGTCTTCCTCGATGAAACTTGGATATTTCAAAATGGGACCATAGGTCGCTCTTGGCAAAATGGAAACCAAAAAAGCGTGAAAGCTATTAAAACAGATGGTAAAAGGTATGTACTTTTACACAATTTGCACTATACAATTTAAAACTAATATATTTTAGATACATTATATTACATGCTGGAAATGAAAATGGGTTTATTGAGGGTAGTGAAGCGATATTTTCTTCGAAAACAAAATTGAGCGGTTACCATGGAGAGATGAACCAGGACAATTTTTTGAAATGGTTTCAACATCAGTTATTAGAAAAATTGGAGAGTCCATCTATGATTATACTGGATAACGCCCCTTATCACAGCATGATATTGAACAAAGTGCCCAACAATGCATGGACAAAAAAAAATATCCAAGACTGGTTGACAAATCAAAACATACCATTTTTAAACACAATGTTTAAAACAGAGCTATTGAGTATTGTTGCTCGGTACATAATGCTTCTTAATTATATATATTTTGGTCGACAGTTTATATTTCTTTTGTTTATTCCTATTCTTAAAATAACTGCTTTTTTAGAAACAAACCACCTAAAATATACGTGATTGATGAATTGGCGGAACAACATGGGCACAAAGTTCTTCATCTGCCTCCTTACCATTGTATATTTAACCCTATTGAGTTAATTTGGGGCATAGCAAAAGGTTACTATAACAGACATATTGGTAGAGATGGTAACAGTGAAAAAGACTGTTTGGATATGTGGAACGAGGCTCTACAAACGGTTACCCCAGACATGTGGAAAAATAGCGTTCGACATACTGAGCAAGAAATTTTTAAATGGTATGAAAGAGAACGAATTTTTGATCGACCAGACATCGAACCTTTAATAATCAACTTTGAGAGTGATGAAGATTCAGATTCAGACAGCGCTGAAGAAAGAAACTCCGACTAACTTTATTGTACAGAAAAAGCTTACACCAGTAGCTTACCTAATTTTAGAATGCATTTTTCTGTATGAATTCTGTAAAATAAATACCATGCATAAAATTTGGAGGACCCCATTTGGATTTTTATTCAGTACCTTTAAGCTATCAATTAAATATGGTAGTTTCATAGTGTCATCTGATCAATAATTGTCATACTTAATGATTATGCAAGTACAGATCTATAATTTTATTATACTATTATTTTTGTTCTCATTTGAGGTTAATATTGCTTATAAACCTAGATATGTAAATAATAAATTTTATTATTTTACAAAAAGTTTGGCAACAATGTAAATTTTTCGACACACCCACCTTGATGACGTGCACGCCACTTTGTTTGGCGTTGACTATATGTACTTTTGATTCTGCCAGATGTAGGAGTTCTATTCGCTTAGTTAAGAATTGTTTAAAAATATTACAATTACAAGTCAGTCATCAGTTAATTTTGCAAAACGACATCGTTCTACATAACGATTCCTTTTCTAGGGATAACCTTTACAGAATAAACTATAAAATACCGTTATATTCACACTTTTCCGATCCCCCCGGTATAGGTAACTTATTCCCAAGACCCAAGAACCCAACAAAACCGCTTACAAATGTACAGTTATTACTCAGGTATTTCAGACAATTTTCAGGTTTCCTGTAACCGCCTACCTACGACGTATTTACCAGTATACAATCATAGATTGTTTGGATAAAAATTTTAATTTACCATTACGTAACAACGAATGAAACTAATAAAAAGAAAATCAATAATCGAATCATATAAAAAAAAATAGTCTACACTGCGCGATGAAAGATTTAAAAGACATACAACGCATTTATTTAAGCCATCACAGCAGACAAAGGATATTTTTACGATAATGTGCATGGAAGCATGAAAATATGATGCAAATAGGTGTAGGAAAAGTAGTTAAAACACTAGATTTTCACTGTTTTGGATCATACAAGTAGAAATACGGTTATAAACGTATGATCCCGGTGGGTTATGCATGCGAAAAATCCGTAAACACGGGGCGGTGGTCAATCCAGAATCGAGAAACTCGATCAAAATTGTTTTAGGTGAACGACCTTGGTTCAAAATCCGAAATATCCAAAGTCCGACAGATCCGAGACGTATCTATTGCGATGAGGTGGTGGAGGAAACTCAGGAAAGTGGTGGTGGTTTCGGAAGAATGTGGGGATGAATATATCCTACCAGAATACGCTACGAGCACCCCTTCCACAATGCACTACATCACGGCGGCGAAGCTCCCTACCCCAAAACACCCACGAGCCGCGAAAGGTTCGTTTGATTCGGCGGTCTGTCACCCTTTCTACCGAAATAATGTACAAAATTAGGACACTTACATTTTGCAAAAGACACAAATCGGCCACGGAAGATATTTCAGCGGACACAAAGCTCAACTTCGTCATCAAACTACTTCATGTCATTTGGCCAGATGTTCGGCTTGCCTAGAACGGTTGTTGTGCTGGTAGATGGCATATGCGCGTAGTGGCTGTTTGAATTTGCGCGCCAAACCAGGCCAGCCTATGAAATTCGAAATTTCTGTGAGATACTAAATTGATGCCGTGCGCTGGTTCTATTTATAAACAAATAATGGGTCTTTGAACATTATTTAATCCAGCTCTATTAATCACTTTACGTTTTAAGCGATTTTTTTCCTATAATTGCAGATTTTTGCTTAGCACAATAATCTTATCACCATATATAATGACCATATAGTACTTGGAGAGATGATCGATTTGTAAATATTGTCATGGTAAAATAGAAAATGTCATATAGTGGAGAATAATAAATAAACTCATGTTTCAAACTGGGCAGTGTCAAAACAATTCCATGTCCTTATTACCCCCATATAATGTTAGAAATGGACCAGAGGCTGTCAAATAAATTATAGTACAGACAATCCAGACATAAAACATTGTAAATGTTTATCCTGTGTTTTTTATATTGTTAATCCCCTTGTTTGTCTGGCCCATCAAACCACACGTGCTTAAAATTCTTCTTTATTGTAAACGTTTTATCAATGTACTTGAAGAGTGTCACCATCGGTACCAAACAATAAAGAATTTTAAGCATACCTACCTATGTGGTTTGATGGGTCAGATAAGCATGGGGGATTAAAAAAATGTATCTTTTGCCGTTTATTACCCCCCTACTTCCCTTAAGAGCGTTAGTGTTGTGTCCTTAATAAAAATGTATTTCATTTGCCAAAAAAATGAAAATATCGTTTCATTGACATTATAATACCCCTATCGGAGATAATTACACAAATTATCAGGTTTATTTTGGTGCACGAATGTAATTCGGTAGATAAATTCCAAATCTCGTTTCGGCAACTCTACCCTATGCTATGTAGAACATCAAAATTAAGTTTGATCAACAAAGTTCGGCTATACAAGATGGTTATTAGACCAGCGATCACTTACGCAAGTGCGGCTTGGTGTTTTCTCGCCAAAACACATTTGCGTAGCCTGCAGGTTTTGCAGAACAGAACCTTGCGTACAATCACTAACGCCCCATGGTATGTTTCCAACGAGACCCTTCACAGAGACCTTGACATCCCTTACCTAAGGGACTACATCAAACAACAAGCGCAGCTACGTTACAGTCAAGCAGAATCGCATAACAACCCTTTGTTGCGCGAGTCAGTAGACTACACAGTCGAGCAAGTTCGCAAGCACACAAGACCGCGACTCGCACTGTGAACAAAATTAAATCGTGCGACCTTAGGTCCAACCAAAATTATAATTTTTCTTCAACAACCAATCCCAAAATTAATTTTAGGATCAATTTAAAATTGCCGAATACTAACTAGCAATGCCAAGGCACCCCTCAAATTGATGCACTTCTTTTTTCTTTGCTCTCCCTCCTTCCTTCCTTCCTTTCTTCTTCCCTTCTTTCTCCCTGACTTTGTTTGGTATCTGGGCAACCAGACCTCACAGACCTACTGACATACAAGACTTCAACCAAGAGCAAAGGTCCTACGACCCGCTCTGACAGACAATGACGAATAGTGTAATTCGGTAGAATGTTTCCAGAGTTAAAGTATGTTTATGCATGTCAAGATGACAAATGCACATTTCATCAATCGCAACTATAGATACGGTCCTACAGGGACATTTTCGATACCCACTGGGCATTTTCACTGACTATTGCCCTCGTCTTAATTTCTACCGATCACAAACGCACGATTTTGAATTACAAATGGTTTCTAGATGGAAAAATTGTATGACAGCACCTGTCAGTAGTTTTTTCGAGCTTACTCGCAGCAAAATTTGACACCTGTTGTTACCAAAAATTACAATACCTATGATAACAAGTAATTATGGTCTCATAGAACACCAGAAAACGACGCTAAACATTTTTTTTGATTTTACTTTCAATAAATTTTGTAAGCTTTGGGTATGCAGAATTATCTGTTGCTCATGAAATAGTCTTGTCAAATACCATTCGGCGACTTATTTTTCCCTGTGAAAAAAATCGAAAATTCCAAGTAATATTTTTCTAACAAAAAAGATTCCTGCAGGTGCAAAAATCCTACTACTAAAATATTACTTAGCAACCTGTTTTTCGATTTTTTTCGGTAAAATTAGATGCCCCTATGATAGTCCTTATGAAAATTTCCCCGTTGTCTAGGTAACAGGGAATTTTCGCTATAATTTTACGATAATTCCACACCCTTATGGTATTTTTTATTCCTGAGTTAGATATTCATAAGGGCATCCAAGTTTTCCGAAAAAAATCGAAAAAACACGTTGCTGAGTAATATTTTATCAAGAAGCATGAGTGCTTGTAGCAGGTTGCTGCACGAATGTTTTTTGCTAAAAAAATATTACTCTGCATTGTTTTTTCGATATTTTTCACAGGAAAAAATTAGATGCCTGAATGGTATTTGACAAGACTATTTCATGAGTAACAGATTACTGGTGTCCTAGGAGACCATAATTACTTGTTATCAGAGGTATTGTGCTGTCATGTAATTTTTTCAGCAAGTCATCGTTGGTTGTCAGAGCGGTCCGTGGGACCTTAGCTCTTGAGTCTCAGTGTCAGTTTGTAAGTCTGTCAGGTCTGGTAACCCAGAAACCAGACAATTTTAAGGATAATTTTTTCATCTAGAAACCATTTGTAATTTAAAATTGCGGGTTTGTGATTGGTAGAAAATAAGACGAGAGAAATAGTCACTAATATTTCATTTTTCTAATGATTTTTCGTGTTGAAAATCAGGATGTGGAGGGGCAAAGTATGCTGGTACAATGGAAGGAATACAACTGGAAGCATAATAAATGAAAAATGTCTCAACATAATGCTTTATTAATAGATCACTTCCTCTCAATTATAATTATCATTAAAAATAATCATTCATCATAATTAAAACCAACTGCTGACTAAAATATCTTGTTATACACTCCATCATCAGAAAAAATATATAACATTTCACCAGTTACAGTATCTCTTTCACCGTTACTCTTATCTCCTTTGAAGCCAAATATTTCACATACTGATTTCACTATATACTTTAAAGCCTTCTATACTTGTACATTTTTGAAATCAAGCAATACTATTTTGTTACATGCACTACAAAATTCATCAGAGTTACATTTGCGTTTTTTCATATTTTTCAAATATCTGTGTGCACAGAATTATGTCCTGTACTATCATAATGTGTCTTGATCAGATTTTACAACATATCCAACTTTAAATACATAACATATTATTAAAGTTACACATCTACCACTTGTGATGAGCCTCAAAAGCATTGAAATGGTACTGCTGTAGTCATCTATACATTGTTAAAAACATATTAGCTGTTCTTATTTCAAAAATAAGCCATGATTTTGCATTTTAATACTATTCTATTCTTTCTGTAAACTCACATCTATGTAAATATTACAGATGTAAATTCAAGGACTACAAGATATATTCATGAATTTAGATCGAAAAGGTGATGAGCAGACTTAAATATGTTAATTTGCTCTGTAGTCTGGGTATAACTTTGAGGACCTGCTTGGGAAGCAACTTCAGTACATACTAGCTGTTAAAAAATATGCTGATAACAAAATATGTATATTAATGTAATGTATATTAATCTAAATGACTACATATTACAATTAAAAGTATTGACCATACAAAATAATAAAAAAGTAAAGAATATAAATATACATAGTAAAATACTATCACACATTAAATTGAAAAGTAAAGTTGGAATTTAACAGTATATTCTCATTGGAATCATTAGTATGGCAGTTATACTGACAATGCGAAAAATGGACCTAAATCTGATGACACCCCCTCTGCAATCGCTGAATGTACATATCAAATAATAATTTATTTACGTTAAAATAATGTGGATTTTGGTTTTCACTCAGGTCAGGGGAATACTCTGTGGAGTAGGGAGTGGGAGTTTTCCAGTCCAAACTCCGCTCTGAGCTTGGTGGGGAATCAGGCAAAATGTTCATGGTGTTTATTGGAGGCCCAGGTCCCCATTCTACCGAAGTATGTTGGTTTGTCATCATAGGATTGTTGATGTGGAGGTTGTTGATTCTTTTTGATAGAGGCATGAATTCCACTTCGTCTTCCAAAAGGCTGCGTCCGCGCTTCCTAAAATAAATTCAGTTTGTTCATCAGATGTCAGTATGGCTCACATGAGATAATCTCAGTTTCCTGCTTAAGATTTGCTGGAAACCAACTAAAATGCTCACCTATTCTGTGTCATATTTAAAGGAATTTGTCAAATTGAGCGAATGGTTCCTTTATATGACGATATTGAATGGTTTTAGGCAATTTTTTACGCTGGAATGATGAACATGATAGGTAAATAAATACGTAAATACCATAAATGTCAATATCATTTAAAGTGCCTAGGGACCTTTGATTTTGAACCACTGACGGTAGGGTGGCAATACTGTTATATGAGATGATATGGAAATTATTTCCTATAAAAATATTCTTTGACGTTAAAGTATGATTGATAATTGATTCAATTTTAGTTATTCATATTTAATGTTTATTACATATTTACGGATAAAATTATGTCAATAAGCTGGTTTTATCTTATGAGAATTCGATGAAATTTGTCTAGGTATGGCGCTGCAATCGAAAATAACAAGTGACAGATGTCATCTGTCAAGCGCATAACCGATGCTTTGTGCGTTCGTTCATTCATTTTCACACAGTGAAATAAAAAATACTCCCGTATTTACAGAAAACGTGGTCTGGTGCTAAATAATCCAGTGAATAACAAATTGTGATTTTCCAAATTACGTATCTGTAAGTTACCAATTTCCTATAAACTTAACCTCTGTCGGCGAAAGGACAGAATGGCGCTGAAAGTTTGGGTTGTGGAGGCCTTTGAATTCAAAGACGATACCCAGATAGTTCCAAAATATAACAGAAAAGTGAAGCTGAGAGCAGACTACGACCCGCAAGGCATTAGCTTACAGATCCTGGAACTGGACGAAACCAATCAACTTTTAGAATTCCCTGTAGATTCTAGTACCGAGTGTAGTAAAGTAGGAATCAGTTCGTATTTGTTCAATGTTGATAGCGAGACAATTTTAATAAAATTTAGTAGTAGGGACGATGCTAGACAATTCACATTAGCTATAGCAAAAGTGAAATTGGGAAAGGACGCTTCTGTGTTCTCAGTACGGACAGAAGATTCATCTGCCACTCAGTATTTCCAGTTTTATGGTTACCTCTCGCAACAACAGAACATGCTACAAGACTTTGTTAGGACTTATACGTATCAGAGAGCAATATTAAGTAATTTAGACGATTTTAAAGACAAAGTAGTGCTAGATGTAGGAGCAGGTTCCGGAATCTTGTCATTCTTTGCGGCACAGGCTGGGGCAAAACGAATATATGCTGTTGAAGCCTCAACAATGGCACAGTATGCTCAAAAGCTGGTAGAGTGCAACAATCTTACGAATTCCATAAAAGTGATACCTGGAAAAATTGAAGAAATTGAACTTCCTGAAAAAGTAGATGTGATAATCTCTGAACCAATGGGATATATGTTATATAATGAAAGAATGCTTGAATCATACTTGAATGCAAAAAGATGGTTAGCACCAGGTGGAAAAATGTACCCTTCAAGGGGTGACTTACATGTAGCACCCTTTACAGATGACGCTTTGTTCATGGAACAATTTAGCAAGTCTAATTTTTGGTTTCAAACTTGCTTCCATGGTGTAAACTTGTCTGCATTGCAGAATCATGCTGTGAGAGAGTATTTTAGGCAACCTATTGTTGGTAAGCATGATTCAAAGTTTTCCATTAAAACACAAAACATGGCATCAAATTATCCATTCATCAATAATTTTTTACAATTATTTATGCTTATTATATAGGATGATTTAATAAAATGGCAATATTTTGAAAGCAGAGGGAAATAATACTCTAAGTCATATCAAAATTAAAATAAATAGTTCTAATCAAAATGAAAATTGCATACTGAAACATACCTCCTTCTTGGGTTTGAAAGTAAGCTAACCTCTTGTAGAAGCCTGTGTAAACATTTTCTGTTGTAACATATTGGCAATGCACCTTCTTCATCACCATTGCTAGGCAATGTGGTGATGACCTTCACTCTTCAGTCCACTTCTATCTACTTATTATTTGTTAGTTTCACATAATAAATCGTACATAAAATGTTTGGTGTGTAATCCTGCTTTACCACAGCAATATTTGAAGAGCATTCATGTTTTATGCTCGTGCAGCGAGACATTTTTTAAAGCAAATGTCTATAGAAACTTTACTCCTTAATATTCTTGGATGTACTCTCCTCTTTTGAAATACTGCCATTGTCTTTTTCACCCCTTGTATATGAGGTCATCTCAAATAGAATCTTTTTATAATATTCACATCTTCACTCTAGTAGTTCAAGTCTAGATAGTATTTATGCCATTCAAAGTTATAAATTACCATCACATATTTAATAAACCGATGTATTTATATTTCTTTTTAGATACATTTGATGTAAGAATCTGTATGAGCAAGTCAGTGAGACATGTGGTTGATTTTTCAGAGGCTGATGAGACTGACCTGCACACCATAGATATACCTTTAGAATTTCACATTTTAGAATCTGGAACATGCCATGGCTTGGCATTTTGGTTTGATGTCGCTTTTGCCGGTTCTCAACAGACAATCTGGCTTAGCACTGCGCCTACAGAACCTTTAACACATTGGTAAGATGCATAGAAAATTGAAAAACACTTTTGACTGAGTTTTAAAAAATATTAAATCTATGTTTTCTTACAAAAAATGCAACAGCTTATTTTTAATTTGGTTAGAGTATTGATTTATAATGATAAATCAAAATTGGCATCATTATAGGACCAGGCTATTAGTCACCATTCATAAAGGCATTTAGTCAGTTATCTGGTAGACTAGCAGTTTTATTTGAAAAAGTAACAGGACCACTTTTGTACAGAATTAAAATCTCCCATCATGTTGAACCCATAAAAGTTTATTGTAGTCAACTGTTTGTCAAAGTTTGTAAGTAATTCCATTTTTTCTTACAACAGATAAGCTTAATCCTTAGTTACTACTAAGGATTATAGAGACTCATCACTTTATAAATAACTATATTATATACAGGGTGACTTGTAATGTCACATATTCCTGTTAAGGGGAGATAGATTAGGTCAAAAGCAACCGATTTTGTCCTATAAATTCCTATCCAGGAGTTAACCGTTTTTGAGTTATTTGAATTTTATTTTTTTTGATTTTTTATTCCGATTTCAGACGGTTAAATTTGAAATACAAAAAAACTACATATTTGATTTTGAGTTTTTTATTATCGTCGCATAGCGGACATTACAATAGTTCATAATAAGTAATAAAATGTTGAAAACTTACAAAAGTTTTAAAATTACGCTATTGAAATGTATGATTTTCTTATATTTTTTTTTTAACTTATTCGATAAAAAATGCAATTTTCTGTAAAAAATCTGCTAGTAATGAAATGTGCAAATTATGTAAATCATATCTCTATCTAACAAGCTTTCATTTGAGGTATAAAAGTTACAACTAACTCAAGTACAAAGACATAAAATTAAAAAAAGATGAGTAAAGTTGTATGAACGAAAATTACGTAGGATAAATAAAAGGCTTTTATTTTAATTACAGTTTTATTTAATTACATTTCCTTTAGTATTGTACAGATTCTGCTCAAATTGTAATCCCCTGTTACGATACATGCCCGCATTCTCTTACATAATTCACTTTTGGTAACTCTAGTTGTTAAGCGGCTTTTTATTTGGTCAGCTGCACTGATTATCCTTGTAATTAATTCATCGCGCGTTGGCACGGGCGAAACATCGTACACCAGGCTTTTCATATGTCCCCACACATAGTAATCCATCGGTGTGAGATCTGGGCTTCTTGCTGGCCAGGCAATGGGCCCGCCTCTGCCAATCCATTGATTTGGAAATTTAGAGTCTAAATACGTCCGTACTAACTACTGAAGTGTGCGGGACAGCCATCGTGCTGGAACCGCAAATTTTGTCTCGTCGCCAATGGGACGTCTTCCATTAATGGAAACAAGTGATTTTTCAAGAACTCTTCATACACTTCTCCATTTAAATTGGCGGGCAAAAAATGAGGTCCAATTAAATATCCATCAATGATGCCCATCCACACATTGACTGAAAACCGGCTCTGAGACCCCGTCGGTCTTATTTTTCGGGGGTTTAAAGCTTCTTTATCAGCCCAGTAATGAGCATTATCGTAGTTAGTGATCCCGTCCTTATCAAACTTCGATTCAATAGGTCCACAGAATTTTCTTAAAATAGTCTGGATCTTCTGTATCTGCATGTAACATGTACCTGCAGAAATCTAATCGTCTTGCAGGATCGTCCTCTTCAATCACATGCATAGGCGTGTAGTGATAAATGGTATAATCTTGCAGTATGCACAGTAAACCATACTTTGTATTGTGACATACCCAACTGAGCAGCCACAATGCGCGTAGACGTAGTAGGGTCTTCCTGAAACACACGAAGGATTTTCTCTTCATCTTCGGGAGGATAGACTCGGGGTCGACCAGCATCACTATGTTGCCTTTGAACACGTCCGGTTTGGCGGATGCGCCGATACACAGAGTCAAATACAGTAACATGAGGTGTTCGGCGATTCGGGAAACGTTGCCGATATTCACGGCGGGCAGCTGCAGAATCGCCGTTACAAAGTCCATAACAGAACATTATGCCTGAGTATTCTTCATTTGTAGAAGTTTGCCCGTGCTCGGCGAGGTCCTGGCGGATCTGCTGCGTCTGCCATGATGATAAAGAAACCACTCGAAATGAACTGGGAAACTCGAAAATAATAATCGTGCGTAAAACGTGTGCGCGTACGCAGTAGTTGATACCAACTAAACCTAATTCTCACTCGGCGTGCGGCGATGGCGTAACTACAGTGATGAATAATAACAGCTCTCTCACTCCTCCACTAAGTCAGCTCTTCTCGCTCGCTTCCTCGTCGAGCCGATGCCATAAAACAATCATGGCATGCGAGTCCTTTGAGGACAGTAACGACTTGTTCAAACAGGTAATACAAATTCCTTAAAAATCCAGCCTCTGTTGGTGTCATTGTTGTTTTTCTACATGTACTTCAGATAATTGAACGCTTAATACCTCAAATGAAAGCTTGTTAGATTTGAGATATTATTTACATAATTTGCACATTTCATTACAAGGAGATTTTTTACAGAAAATTGCTTTTTTTATCGAATAAGTTAGTAAAAGAAAATGATACATTTAAAAAGCGTAATTTTAAAACGTTTGTAGCTTTTCAACATTTTATTACTTATTATGAACTATTGGAATGTCTGCTATGCGACGATAACAAAAAACTCAAAATCAAGCATGCAGTTTTTTTGTATTTCAATTTTAACCGTCTGAAATCGGAATAAAAAATAAAAAACTTAAAATTCAAATAACTCACAAATGGTTAACTTTTTGATAAGACATGATAGGACAAAATCGGTTGCTTTTGACCTAATCTATCACCCCTTAACAGGAATACGTGACATTACAAGTCACCCTGTATAATATTTGCTAAGATATATGTTTTCCAATCACACTTTAATCCATATTTTCATTATTTCCGGTCATGCTTTAATCTCGAATCAACAAATGTCAATTCAAACTTTTCGTAGAAATGATATCAGTGAAAATTAATATGTTCTACAATTTTTATGATGCATTGTCACATTATATTCTCTGTAGGGTTTAGGAATCATATAAACATTGACCTTGACATTTGCACAATAAATTAAAAACTATATCAATGTGATCTGCTGACACATTGTTATTCTACTAATTAAGTATTATTACAAATATTTATAATAATGTATAATTATTAATGGATAATTTTACTTAATCATTTGATAAGTAGTTTTGACTTTTTATGACCTGTTGTTTTAATTTTGATACTTCAAGTGTTGAAAACCACATATCAAAAGATGGTATAGGTAGCTAACAAATGTAACATGAATTTGAAATTTCAGATGTTTATGAAACAATAAATGATTATAAAATGAAATGTATAAGGTCATAGTAAGATCATAAATGTTATCAACAATAGTACTACAGAGTGACCGATATGTAACTGACTGGTTTGTATCTAGAATATTTGTGGAATGAAATAAAGTATGTCCATTTTTTTCATCTCAATATATTATTGAGACTTGGAAATTGTATATGAAAAATATCAGACCAATGTCCGCCTCTAGAAGCCGCGCAAATCTGAGCCATCTTGATTTCATTTTCGCTTCCGTAATATTGTTCTTCAGCTGCTCTACAAAATTTGGTTGGTTGGTATTTCTCACAAATCCCCATAAAAGAAGTTGGAGCCGTTAAATCCGCTGATCTTGGTGGTCAATTGACATCAAATCGAGAAATTAAATGTCCCGGAAATATTGTTCGCAAAAGATTCATTGTTTCCTAGCTGTGTGACAAGTTGTTTCGTCCTGCTGGAACTACATGTTTTGGAGGTTAAATTGTTGGATTTGAGCAGCCATAGTGTTTTGCCCGATATCCAGTGACAGTAAGAGAATTAACTGCAGCGTCTTCAAAGAAGTAAGGTTCAATGACACTTCCATACCAAACATCGCACCAAACTGTGACTCGACGAGGATGTAGTTCATGTCGAAGTGGGCTTTATCGCTCATTATCCGTTGTTATTTTGGGTATCAAGCTGCAATGTTGCGACTTTCATTGTCACTAGGCTGTAGTTCTTGGGTTAAATGAATTTTGTATGGCCGCAAGTCTTTAACTTCATCTGTTTGTTCTAATTTCCGCACTGACGAATGGTGTCCACATTATTTCGGCCGAAATCATGTAACTTCCGAATCGTTTAAATCAGTTATATATTGGCCACCCTGTACTAGGGTAATATAACTTTTGACTTGGAGTATCAAAATATTTACTATATGTATAAAAATCTTTCAAAAATGTATTATTGCTATTATACATAAGTGATACTTGAAGGCAATAACAGAAAAATGATTATTTTCTGTTGAACTTTATCGACTTTGTTGGATTTACCAAAAAATTACACATATATGCAACTTGCTGTTTACTTATCTTGTTCACCCGGTTATTTCTTTCTCCATCTCTAGTTTAAATAGTATTTTTTTGTTTTTCTTGAAGACTCAAGATCAAGATTCATCTAAAGAAATTTTAGGTACCAAGTACGTTGTTTGTTAGAACAGCCACTTCTGTTAAAACAGGGCCAAGTGTTGATGGGGAAAGTATTACTGGTGGCAAACAAAAGGCAGAGCTATGACGTCACGATTGAATTGACTGTAGAGGGCACGTCACAGACGTCAAAGAACACGTTGGATTTGAAAAATCCATATTTTAGATATACTGGAGCACCTGTACAGCCACCACCAGGTAATTTGAACTGCATTCTGAACATAACAGTTTTTTTTGGACCACATACTAATATTATCGGAAACTCTATAGAAGTAATTTATCTTTTTTGATATTTCTAAAATAATGTATTCATAAATGTTCGTGAAACAGTCGCTTACTATTCACATATTATATACCCAGATATTTAAATGATATTTGTGTTGTTTCCCTATTGACATACATTTTGTTTTATTACTGTTTAATTTAATTTTATTAACATTTAACCAATTCATAATTTTTTTAATGTAACTATTTAACAGTTCTAAAGCAGTGTCCAAATACGTATGTGCTATATATGTCATGTATCGTCCGCAAATATTTGAATTTTGCATGTTCTAAAATGTCAAAGTTATATAAATGATCAATAGTAACTGCCCTAATTTACTACCCTGTGGCACCCTTACTGATATATTTTGAACGCTTGACATAATATTTCTAACTTTAGTTTTTTTGACTTTTATTTACTAAATAATTTTGTAAAATGTTTAATACTGATCCTTTAAAACCACATTGATGTAATTTCAGTAACAATTTTTCCCTATCTATAGTCTCAAATGTTTTGAAGTCTAAAAAAATACTGTTACTGTATCATCTATACTTATTCTCCAGTCTTCCACCACCATTTGGATTGCTATTTCTGTAGAATGTTTTTTTCTAAATCGAGCATGATTTTTTGTTGAAATTTTGTTTTCTTCAATGAATTCAATGATTTGTTCGTATATTATCGCTTCGAACAGCTTCTCGACATCTGGCAAGACATTAATCGGTCGTATACAGGGTGTTTCAGTTTATTGTTGCATAACTTTAAGATTCGATAGAACTTTTAAAATTAATGCATAAAGTCTATATAAACATGGGTCGAAAAATGCGTGGCTTCCGAAATACAGGGTGTTTAAATTTACTTTCTAAAATAGTTTTTTTTTAAATATTTCGAACAATATTTGATGTATAACAGTGAAAATTGGTATACAAGGGTTTTTTGGTACGACAAAACGAACCATGGGCATAGTTTTACTGTAGCTGCTAGAGGGCGCTCTCTACTGTACCTGTAGTGTATTAAAATGACCAAAAATTGTTTCTTAGTGCAATTTTTTGCTTTTTGAATATAAAAACTGATTCTTCGCACTTTTCAACATAAAAAGCTCTCTTGTGAATTTTCGTTATAGTTAGCCGTTTTTGAGATATTTCGATTTTTAAGGTTCGATGCATTTTTAATTATTTATGATAAAATAACGTTAAAAAGTCAGTATCTCGATAATTTTTAGAAGTAGGCTGTGCCTGTAAATATTTTTGAAATTGAAAGCAGAATAAGGTTAAACGTCGATTAGTTGACAGTTAGTTTTGTTGTCTGTTGAAACCTGAAACGTTTTTTTGCAATAATTGTGAATGCTCGAAATTTAGTTTCTTTTACCTGTTTTTTTTTTTTTGTAAGTTTTATAAAATTGCCATTTTTATTCTCCAATCAAGAGTTAGCGGATATTCATTTTGTGTATGGCTTTGTAAATGGAAACGCAGTAGAAGCAGCCAGAGAGTACGCACGAAGATTTCCAAACAGACGACATCCAACTCGCTCAGTATTTGTAAGAGTGCATCGCCAAATAATTGAAAATGGTTTTGGAAATCTCCAAAGGGATCAAAACATAAATGTTCGTCAGCGCAGATGTAGCCGTACCGTACCGTAATCGACTATTTGGACCCCACCTTTTGCCTGCAAGGTTAAATGCTGCAACCTTCTTGGAATTTTTAAAGGCTGAACATGCAAATATGTGGGATGATGTTATGTTAGACTTAAGAAGATTGGCCTGGTTCCAGCTTGATGGTTGTCCAGCTCATTATTCTAGAATAGTTAGAAACTGGCTAGACAGAATCAGGAATGCATGTGATGAAATAAGGCCTTATTTGAATAGTGCTATACCACGTTCGATCATTCGTAGATGTGAATTGTGTATTGAACAATTGGGTTTACATTTCGAGCAACTACTTTAGATTTTTTATATTTGACTTAACTATCCAATAGCAATTTTAGTTGTAAATAATTAATTTTATTTGTTAAAAGTAATATTGGAAAATTAAACAAATTAATATTCTGTTTTTTGTGTTTATTTGGAGTTAGGAATTATTGCTGTGTTTAAAAACACAATCTAAACGATCATCTTAATTACTTGTAATGCCCAAATCGAAAATGTAAAAAAAATATTATTTTCCCATAAATAATTAAAAATGCATCGAACCTTAAAAATCGAAATATCTCAAAAACGGCTAACTATATAAATCAGTTTTTTTATTCAAAAAGCAAAAAATTGCACTAAGAAAAAAATTTTGGTCATTTTAATACATTACAGGTACAGTAGAGAGCGCCCTCTAGCGGATACAGTAAAACTATGCCCATTGTCGTACCAAAAAACCCTTGTATACCAATTTTCACTGTTACACATCAAATATTGTTCGAAATATTTAAAAAAAACTATTTTAGAAAGTAAATTTAAACATCCTGTATTTCCGAAGCCACGCATTTTTCGACCCATGTTTATGTAGACTTTATGCATTAATTTTAAAAGTTCTATCGAATCCTAAAGTTATGCAACAATCAACTGAAACACCCTGTATTTGTATTCAGCTCAGAATTTTGAACTTTTGGCACAGAACACTTCAATTTTGATGGGAATTCACAATGTATATTATCTGTGATTTTTAACACGTTCAGTGCGAACAGCGTCAAAAGACGCCCTCCGCTCCTGTGGTGGGAGGCGAACGGCGTCTTTCGACGCTCTCTGCCGTCTTCCAAAAAAGTATTTCAGTTTCTGAGGTGGGTATCCTCATCCCAGTTCGCAGTCAATGTGTTAAACAAAGGTATTTGGCGTTGAGTTCATGTGTGTCAAACGACGATTTTAATATCTATTTAAGATATTGAATATTCACTGTTAGATTTTATAATGATATTTTTTCTCAGGTGTTTCAAATGTATCACCTAGTGAAAGTTATTGGAGCCAACTAGATGCGCAAGGAGTTCGAAATGCGGTGAATATGGTTAATGGAATGTCTGTGAATGGTTTAGGAGAAGTATCAATGGACACTTCACAGACCTTGATCAATAACAATCTGATGGCCAGCAATCTCATCGCTTTAGTGGATGCACAGCATGTACCAGGTCAGTAGAAAATACATTTGTTGTCCATATACCTTCATATTCCATTTTCGCCATCCATTTACTCATTGTTTATATTGCACATAAGACAATAACAACTTGCATGTTGCAAAATGTAATAGTGTTTTCACATTGCTTTATCCTACTCACGTATTTCAGGCAGTTGTATCAAAAAGACAACCACAATAGGTTTTCCTATATTCCTATGTTATATTCAGATCTCATCTACGCCCAGGCTTAATTATGAATTTGGTTTAAAAATTTTGTGTTATGAAATAAAGTGTCTGATTTCATTTTATAATCTTAGACATCATGTCAGTCTAAAAGGTTCCCACAGCTCCAGAAGATATTTACGAGAATTTAAAAATCTACTTTTTTGAATAGTTGTGAACTAGAAATACTTCAAACATACCTACAAGTTGTTAAAGTTACAATTTTGAAAAAGATCATCCTTGTTATCCACCGAGCCAATCTACAGGGTGTCCAGTGGGAAAGTTCATTTTTTGAATTAAGAAAAAAATACAAACTTAACGAAAAGAAAATATTTATTGCTATCAACATATTCGTAAATTCGGCGGGTTTAATTTTTTAAATACCAGTCTGTCCAAATTTTGTCATCCCTTTGGACACATTCTGAAAATCGCGCGCGCAAATTCAGAAGCACTCACTTGCAGAGTTCCGGAGTGATGTTGTTTATTTCTCGTCGAATGTTGTCTTTCAGCTCCTTTCGTGGATTATTCTAATACACTTTTGACTTTAGATAACCCCACAATAATAATCGCATGGCTTGAAGTCGGGTGACAGGATGCCAGTGCCAAACTTTGATATAACTTTTTGAGGAAAAATTGCTTCCACCGTGTCCATCAATTCTGTGGAAGTATAGGCAGAGGCCCCATCCTGTTGAAACCATGTGTTTCTGTTAAATCGACGTTCTGTTCTTGCAATAGGAGCAAAAAAGTGTCAGTCATGTCCTTGCAGGCTCGGAATTGACTGTCAATGCATGAGGATATGCCGCACCAGTCACCTAGGCCTCGTCACTAAAAACAACGTTCTCGAGTGTGCGCTGCGTAGGTAAAGGGTTCAACATGCGTTCAGCACAAGATTTCCGTAATACGTAATCACTTTCCTTCAAAGGATGGACTGACTGGATTTTATAAGGATGAAAACCTATTTTTTTCTTCATCATGCCATACAGTGTTGACCTAATGATTCCCAAAGCAGCGTACAGAACGCCGAGGACTTGCGATGACCGAATCACCTACTCGACGCACATTTTCTTCGGTTGATACAGTAGGTGTGGGGTCGGGAATGGGTTGACTAAGATTAGAGCCTGTTTTACGGAACCTCTTAATCCACTTTTTCAATAGGTTCTTCCTTGGGGCATCTCTTGGTCGGCGAATGTTGTATCGTGTACAAAATTTCCAAAGGACAGCTGCGTATGAATCACCACTCTTAGAGTAAGCCTCGATAGCAAAAACACGTTCCGCTCCGGTCCAACGTTCCATTGTGACTATTTAACCCGCATACCGAACGAGTCGATCAAGACTTCCTCGCGTATACGGTTGCCGCTTAATTCAAATTTGAAATGTGAACTTTCCCAGTGGACACTCTGTACTTGTATGTCTTAAATAGGATTAGGCAGGAAAACTAGACGCATTACCGAGTTTCATGTTTCATCCATCTAAATCATCAACAAACTTCACATCATTTACAAATCTGGGAGGCCGCATATCTTAAAAACGGTTTGCCCAAAAGAATGTTGACAGCTGCAACAGTATATGGAAACGTCAATTTTTAGATCACGCTCTCAGTGAAGAAGCGGTTGTATGGCATTCACCAATATTGTTGTTAACCCATTGGTCGCCATTGATCTGTCGGACAATGAGGCTTGATAAGTGGCGGACCAATTTTACGTATGAAATAGGACTGTTAGCAGCGTTTAACAGTGATCAGTGGAACTGGATCAAAATGAAATGCTGAAAGCTTGGGCACAATGGGGTATTTTACAACAATTTTACTCCATCGGAATAGATAGATAATATTGGCGGTGTTTAAATACACATACGTATTTACGCAGGTCAGATTGAAGTGAAATCCATAACACAATACATACAAATACATGAATAAGAGTTGATGACAAAAAGAATATGCTGCATAATTATCATAATTCTGCTACCAAAAAGTTTCCACTGTTTTATTTGAATGATAAGTTGTAAAATGGTGGCGATGTCCAGTTTTGCTTCCACTAGCCAGCACTAGTGTGGCTACAGGTCAAAATGTCAAAAGTACCGGGTGCGCCATCTTTTATGCCGGTATTGAAACATCGAATGACTTTGATATTTACCAACCTAGTGATTTGGTTATACGTGTTTCTGAAACGTCAATTTACTACAATTCTAGTCATGAATCGCTTTACACCGAAACAACGCGCCGAAATAGTCACAATGTACATTGAAAATCGTCGTTCAGTTGTGTTAACGCAACGTGCATATCGTCGAAATTATCGTGGCAAACAGGCAATACTATCCGTCGAATTTTCCTGAGTACGGGACAGTGGGAGATCGTCAACATACCGTTCATCAACGACCAAGGCGTTCCAATGAATTGGTCGAAGCAGTCAGAGACAGCGTTGCCCAGAACCCAAAAGTGTCGTATCGTCATCAGTGGAACCACGTTGCGGAGCATTTTGAAGGATGATTTGCATTTGTTTCCTTATAAGGTGCAGTTAACACAAAAAATATTGCCAACTGACCGTCCACGTCGCTTGGAATACGCCCAAACAGTCGCTCGCATGGATGATGCGGAACCTGATTTTTGGAAGCAAATTGTGATGACCGACGAGGCCCATTTCACGCTCTCTGGCGGCGTTAACAAGCAAAACTGCCGAATTTGGAGGACGGAAAATCCACATGAGATCCACGAAATGCCCTTGCATGACCGGAAAGTGACTGTTTGGGCCGGCGTTTGCGCCAAAACCATCATTGTGCCATTTTTCTTCAACGAAAACGAAACAGTCGATGGAAATCGATATCGGTGGATGTTGGCTCATTATGTCTGCCCACGAATGCGTGAAAAAGGTCTTGTTGGTTAACAAGACGGTGCGCCATGCCACACTGCAAATGAAACAATCCAGTTTCTGCAACGAAAATTCCCTGGACGTATGATCTCAAAAAGAAGTGACCTTGTCTGGCCACCCAGGTCTCCAGATTTGACACCACCGGACTTCTTCTTGTGGCGTTATTTGAAAATTCAAGTGTACGCCAGCAAGACCCAGACCACTGAAGAACTCAATGCAAACATTCGTACCGCAATCGCCGCTATAACACGAGGGATGCTCGAAAAAGTAATGGAAAACGCAGCAAAACGGGCATTTTGTTTTGGCCAATAAAGGTGGCCACTTGATACATGTTGTGTTCAAAAACTAGTCCCAATAAATTGTAAAGGACCATATTTAATAAGAATACCCGATATATAGAAATCAGTTTTTCGTTTTCAAAGTTATTTCATGTTTACATACCGACATAAAAGATGGCGCACCCTGTAGATAGGAAATAGTCAGATTTGATAGAAAGATAATCAATGACATCTTGTCTATCACCTTAGACCGCCAACCTAACCAGCGCCATCTACCTCTAGCTTTCCAGATTCCTCTCCAAAGCCCTCCATTTCAAACGTAAAGTTTCGCGCGTCAGGTATGACGTAATGACTGCCAGCGTGACGTAATAAGTAATTAGACATGACTGGGCGGTACGTAAGTCCTTTGCCTATTAGTCACATGAAATTGCTATCGGTTTTGGAAACAAAAACCAAATACTATTCATTCAGCAGAAAATACAGAGAATTTGAGTTAATTCTGTTTGAATGACGTAAAAAACTTTGTGAGTCATTAATTTTCTTAGCCACCCAGCCCGCTCACCTAACTTATATCCACTCGATTTTTTTTACTGGGGAGCGGTGAAATAAAAAGTGTACTCAAAGAAAAACCAAAATTTAGCTGAGCTACGGGATAGAATAATGGAAGCAGCTAAATATGTTGATAATCGCAGATTCGCCCGTCTGATAACCCAATCATTTTTGAGAAGGCGTCAAGCTTGCATTGCTGCTGAAGGAAGTCAGTTTGAACATTTATTGAGAATTTAATAAATACATTCACGAATTAAGTCTCGTTACTATACGTCTTGCTGCCTCCACGTAGAATCAAAGTCACTCACTCCCTCTAAGAAAAAAAATGAACTTTGTAGTCTTGATAACTAAAAGGTCACCTCAGGCTGTAGATTTTTCTGTTTTGTTAAAGCCTTAGAATAACATTATGACTTGGCCTGTCCCCTGTTTCCGGCTTGACGTCGATTTCTAGGACACCGTGTATATATAATTGGCTGTCTTCAGATATTATACGTTAATCAATGCTAAACCTAATTTTAACTTTGGGCGAACCGTTTTTTTCTAATGTTTTCCTCCCCTTCGGACCGACCTGTTCTATTGTGGTGTCTTTCTGTTGCAGTACTCTATATGTGAGAGGTGTAGGCTGCGCAAAGCAAAACTGAGTGGTGCGTTTTTTTAGATCCGCCGTCGCAGCACGCGTCGTCTGGTGCCCCGGGGGGTCAACAGCAGCAGAATCAGGGGGCGCAGCCTAACATCCATCCCGGGTGCATTCCGAGCACGGGCAGGGGCGGGAGGGGCGTCGTCGCGGCCAGCCCCACGTCCACGCATCAGGCGCAGTTGATCGGTGGCGCCATCTCGCCGGCGATGTTCACTTCTCCTCCCGCTCCGACGCATCACCATCAGCAGGCGCAACAGCAGCATCAGCAACCGCTGGTTAGTAATTTATCACAAACTCATCAATATCCTAGTTCGAAAATAATCTAGTCCGATGTACTTCCCACTTTTTTCTGTCTATTCTCCGGACTGATAAAAAACTTTAGTGAAAAGCGATGCACTTGCAAATCTCTCCAGTAGTCATTGGTTAGTGGTTAAAACACTTATCACATTCCTTCTACACATAATAGTATCATAATCAACAATAAATTTGTGTAATATCTGAGCAAGAAGACCTGAGAGACGTAGCAATATAATTCTAAAGGAGAGCATAGTCCTAAGGAAGACTCCTGCAGACAATGGTCACATTCATCATAACTTGCATTAAGAAGCAACTTTTACATGTTTATCACGTTAGCTGGAACGTCAGTAAAGTCATTTCGCCGAATTTGTGAACGAAGTTAAGGTCATGTAGTTAAGATACTTTTCTAGATGATAACATTATTATTTTTATAGCAACGTGGATAGTTGAAGCAATATTCGTATATTATGTTGAGAAATCTTCAAAATGGCGGTTAAAACTAGCTATAGGTTGACACATTGCGAGAAACGGTTGAAATTTACTCTTTATTAAGTAATCAATAAAAGCTACAAAATTCGAACAATTTAGTTAACTCTTAAATGCAATACCTTTCGTAAATTTGTAATTGTTTATCCTAGACATCTTTTTTTTACAACAGCGCAGTCCTTTGTAATAATGAAGCTATAATATTTTTTGAGTACACTGCAAAAAAGGAAGAGTGTCTTGTGAAACTCTTGTACTGCATGTCAAAAAATGAATCTTTATTTAGTACCGTTAAATCTCATCCGAAAACCACTCTCATATTTACCTCTAAAGCAAATAGAAGAATTTTGTTGTTTTTGCTTGTACATTAATTCTACCCTTTTATCCAAATAGCCAATATTTTTTAAAGCATTTCAAAAAATCGTTCTGACTCAATCTTGGCCAGAGGTAGATTTTTTTTGTTAAATTGAAATATTCCCAAGAAATAAGGGTTCGTTAATTCTTTTGATAGCATCAGGGAGACCATGTAAACGGTGTTCCATCTATTGCTTCTTTTTTCAACTACCATTTTATGACATGTTGAATGTGTCAACTGCCATGTGTTGCCATGATTCTTTAACAACGCAAGAACGCATTTTGGTCGTCCAAAAATATTAAGAAAACGGACGATCTTTGAAACGTACTTTTCGCAACTTCGTGATGAATTTGGTCTACATAATCGTCCCACAGAGCGTGGAATTCGGTGGATTATCAATTGTTTTGAGGAATCTGGCTCAGTTGAAGGTCGTAGAATATACCAACATGCCCGTCCGGTACGTATACGTGAATCAGTGGCCGCTGTGAGTGAAAGTGTTCATCAACAGCAATCCTCTTCGATAAGACACCATTCGCAAGAATGGGACATCAGGCTAACAATGTTATGGAGGATTTTGCATGTTGATCTCCACCTACACCCATACAAGATTCAACTAACTCAACAATTGACGCCAGCGGACCATCAGCAACGGCGTATTTTTATTAATTTGTTTGTTTGTTTCAGATTTATTTAGCATTAATGCTACTATGTCCATAATATCCATATTACACAGTATATCACAAAATATATTATGTCTTCAAGGCTACATATTTTTATACAAAATTTCACTACTATGAATTCTGGTTTTCCATGATATATTTTTTCAATTTCCCTTTGAATATTTTCAAACTGACACGCATTTTGATATCATTACTTAAGTTATTAAATTCATACAATCCCTTTTGAAATACTGATTTGCTCGTTATATTGCTACTGCACTTTTGCAAATGAAATATATCTATTAACTGTGCCAAACGGATTATTTGTGTTGCCCTTCCTGAAGAGAGGTTCAAAGTTATACATTACGGTTTTCCCAGTTTGTTTTGCGTTTTCAAAAAATTGGAGAAGCATTACGAGAAATCAGCACCGCACTCGCATTGTATGTAACTAAGCCAGAACACAGAAAAGTTAGGAATGTCGCATCACATACAAAACATCTTCGCACTGCTTCACATCAAGGCGCAGATCTGTATTTTCTACTTGATATCGTAGAATAAATTTCTATTAAATTCAAATGACTGGAAATAAAAAAATTAATGTGAAATTTAATTTGTTGCATATGTAATTTCCAGGTTGAATAAAAAAAACGGATGCGCAACTAATTTTTAGCTTTGAATACATCTCAAGTAAGTGGATTTGAGACAATGAGCCGTATTCATAAAAGAGAAGCATATCCTCGGAAGCATAAGGTAAAAGTATAAAGGTCTTGCTTCTGAGAAAAAGTATAAGCATATCCTTGTTTTCATATTCATAATGATTACGTTATACTCGCGAGGATATCCTCCGAAAAGAAATAAAATGTGGACTAGTAGCTTGTAGTTGACGTGGGAGTTCGTTCACTCAGCATCACTGACAGTTGTACTCCAGAACTTACACAGACCGTTCCGTATTATTACTGGGTACAGTTTTTTATGAAATTAATAAGCATGTCATCCTCAAGTGATGAGGAAACTATAGAAAATAATGGCAACGACCTGCAGTTTATCGCAGATGAAATTGCCATTATTTTGCAAAAGTCGCAAGTTCCAAAAATAAAAATGAGAAAGGACGATGCCTTGACGAAGATGTTGAAAAAATATGAATCAACATTCGGTAAACCATTAGATACGAAATGCTTATTAAAAAAATCAACAACATGAAATCAAGATTGAAGAAAAAAACATCTAAAAAAACTGGTAATAAGCAATTAAATTGTTAGATTGGGAAAGAAAGTTGATGAAAGCTATGGAAGGTGACGAGTTTCCTCATTCTAGATTAAAAATCTGTCCGCAAGCCATTTGTACATTTGCTTCGTCGAACCGATATAACTTTTTGAAGTCACGACCAAGTGAAGGTAAACGAGGTTTGTACGTTTTAACGTCCCTAACATCCACAATTTCCGCCATCACTCAGAACCCTCAGAATTTTTGAAGGATATGCTTCCTATGCCAAGTATAAGGTGAAGATTATGAATATCCTTTTACTTATGTCACTGCTTTGAAGGATATGCTTATACTCAAAAAGCAAAAGCATTTACTTCAAATTATTATAAATACCATCTGGAGGATTTCCTTCAGAATTTGCAAGTACAAGGATATCCTTTGTTTTATGAATACGGCTCAATAAACCAATGGAATTATCAACACCGATTATTAGCTCACATATCCTTACTATACACCTATGCGTTGCCGTTTCCTTTCAGCAACGGTATACAACTTACAGCTTAGACCTCCAATAATGCCATCTCTGAGGCAGATGTTACATCACATTTTCATGACATTTAGGCAGCACGTACAGCTACGAAATGCGTTCATAAGTGTACAACAGCTAGTACTGTCACATAATGTCACAAAAAACCTATATAATGTAAAAAAAGGCGACATAATTTCACTTTTCAAGATACCCCTGCCGCTCCCAACTCTGAATGATACATCATGCATGAGATAAATCTTTTGCATAGCCCGTGCATAGTAAGAATGGCGAATCGTAGGACTTTTCGCACTCAACAACATCACCATGGATTTGATAGTTTGTTGCTTGTTAACATTGGATTACTTTCTTGTTACAGGTAATGGCAAACTATCCAGTGAGTGCCAATCTGATGATTGGTGACTATGCTAAACCAGGTAACGGAGTTGCGTTGTCGGTATTCAGACAGTAAACAGTTCCATAATAGTGAGTTATTTTAAGCGTAAAAACATTAGAAAGTAAGCCGGTGCCGTTCAAAACTGCGATTGGTTACCAAACGTCGATATTTTAACGATTAGTTTAGTTAAGGTTTGAGTTTGCCGTTTATAACATTGATCATTTTTCTCGACGAATAACGTATTAATTTTAGTTAGATACTTAAGTAAGGATGCTCGAAACTAGTTTAAATCAACGGTAGTTGCACACACGAAGCGAATAATTTTTGCTAAAGTTGTTTTAGTCTCATTGTAACATTTGATTTCATGGAAGTAAGGATCAAACATGCATGAAGAAGTATTTTTATTTTATCAGTCGAATTCACTAGAACATTTTTACAATTGACAATACTTTTAGATCTAGTAAAACGTAATTAGAGTGTTTTTGTATAAAATACATGAGGCTTTGACAATCCTTTGGGTTCTCGTAGTTCATTTTATCGCCTAAACTGGAGAGTAAGTAGTCTCTGATCAAGGCCGTACCCAGCTGAAAACAGAAGGGGGGCACCTCCAAAAAGTGTTTTGGTGGAAGTCCCACAAATCATATCTGCATAATTATGCTTGATATTTTTCTTTCTACTAGGATTTCATTTATACATTTTGTAAAGTTTGGAACGCATCGAGTGTCTGACGAATGACTCATCTAATTTTTAAAAAAATTGCTTGGTTTAAGTATAAATTCTGAATACTTTTTATTAAACATACTTTGACGTAGACCTCAGTTTTCGAAATATTCGCGTCATACATTAATATTGCAACAATAGAAAGTATTTTTTCACCTAATCAATGACCAGTATCGAAAGTAATTTTCTGACATTCAAAAGTCTAATAAGTGTTTTTATTAGAGTAATTGAGAATGATTTAACTGAAACCGAGAGAATACAAATTCTCATGATTCTGGGTTATCGCGATCGTCGATTCACACAGCAAGAAGTTTGTGTTTTTTTTAATGACAAATATTCCAACCGGAATCCTATAACAAGGTTTACTGTTGGAAAAGTTTTGAGGAAATTTGAAATAACAGGACATGTAAAGGAACAACCACTGACGAAAGTACATACAGTTTATACAGAGTCTCATACATATGGGGATGGAAAACTACTTGGATTACTTTTTTGAAAGATTCAAGTAAGTCAGTGATGAACCCTGTTGTAAAAGAAATGTGCAGAAGGATTCATACAGCAGCGGACAAAAGTTTGGAAACATTCTTAGTAATTTTTAAAGTGTGCTAATTTCTTATTCTTAATTATTAAGGACTATTTTTTTTCTCATATAGTTTGCTTACAGTCTTGAGGATACCAACGACAATTTGTGTTTGCTGTGCTACTACAGACTAGCATTAAAATACCTTCATATCATAAACATATTTTTTATTACAAAAATAAATACAATAACTCTACAAAAAGATTTAAAAAATACACATTTTTTTTCAGACGTCTGTTGGGATATTTTACTAAATATTTTTTACATAATCAAATAAATAGTTCCTATTTTTAAAAGTTTTTCTGGTCAGTTGTCTTTTAACATGCTCCCAGAGATGTTCTAAACGGTTTAGGTCTGGAGATTGCGAAGGCCATGTAAGGACATTAACATTTTTTAGCCTTAACCAGTCCTTTACGAATTTTGAGCTGTGCTTGGTGTCATTATCTTGCTGGAATGTCCATCGTAAAGGTAGTTCTTCTTCAGCAAAAGTTATCATGTGTTCACTAAGAATATCTTTGTAATGATTTTGATCCATTTTCCCAACAATTTTAAGAATTGAACCCGTTCCAGAACTAGAAAAACAGCCCCAAACCATGAACGAATAAATACGGCAAAACGGAAATGTCCCCAAAGGTAGACTTTAATATTTATATTATACGTTCATTCACAATTTTAATTTAGGTATATGAAATAGTATGTCCAGTTCGTTGCAACAGCTAATTTGTTATTGCAAAAAATCGTTCATTTATGCATCAGAGTAAATATGACATTGGACAGACAGAGTGAATTTTTCGTATCTAATTTGACAATATCTCCATTACATAACCAAAAATGTTATTTACAAAAATTGTGGACGATACGCTTCCTACTTGGAATATAGCACTCATACTTCATACGGACATGATAACAAAAATGATGTTTTTTAAATCGAACACCGTACATCTTTTAGTATATTCTAATAGGGAGAAGGGAGAAGTTTTAATTCCGAAAATAATTTCTCTTGGTTGATATTTATTCGTTGTTTTTCTACATTTGCTTAAAATTTCGCCCTATAGCCAAAACACTTTTAACATATTTATTTTAGAATAATTTCAAAAACAATTTTTTCATATTTCCACCATTATGATCTCCGAAACGGTAGGAGATATGGGTCGGTTGAATGGTGGCAATGTTGCGTATTTATGTATTTCAAAAAATGCTTTTGAAAAGTTTTGACGCTTCCAGTATCTCCAGAGATTCACGGAAAATGGAACGAATTTTTCCAAAACCGTTTATAATTTCTCCTGAATTTATTTGAGATTGAAAAATTAAAATAAACTGCACACTGACATTGCCACTTTTTGAAGGTGGCATAAATAGAACATTAATATGATTTTTCTTCTTTTATCCCCCGCGTCTCATCTTTGATTTATGAATGCCGTTTTGCATAGCTTTTAATTTTGAATTCAAATATTATAACATGTCATACGTTTCTATAAAAAAAGAATTCTTGGGAAAGCCTTGAAATTATCATCTAGTCATTTATTTCATGGAATATCAAAGATGATAACATGTTACACATTGATATAAAACTTCAACTGCCTAATTTCATATAGTTGGTTTAAACTTATCGAATGAGGAATAACAATGTAACTCATCGGTACGGACTGATCGTGTGACATTCTCGTTGCCGTTTCTGAGATCCTAAAGGCGACGGTCGAATATCTAACATAAGAGTTCAACTAGTCCTATTAATTTCTCATCTACTAGGTATTTCTTCAGCTTGAGGAGAACCCTGTACATGAATAAATTAAATTTTGTCAAAAACTATTAATATTTTCTGTTGCCCGTTAACAACCCCCCCCCCCCTGGGTACGTCCTTGTCTCTGATTTTCAAGTTTTGGCATATTTGACAATGAGACTAGCATATTCTATAAATATACTATTTCATTCATTTCGACAGAGTGCAATAACATACACTGACACATTGCAATTAAGATAAGATACCTGTCTCCTACAAAGACTGATTCGTATTTAGACGCTATTATATAATTGTGCTTTGCTGAATAGCTTTTTCTGTGGATTTTAGTGACTTCGCAGTATCTCGATTAATTCACATTATAACTAAACGATTTCCTCGACATTGGAATAATTTTTCGCGAAATGGATTGTCTTTCAACATGGGCTTCTCAGAATGTTGTTCAAAGAAAATATATATGGCGTTTAATGCATTTCTGTTCACGACTTATCTGAACATTTTATTTTGATTTGGCACGGTATTTTAGTATCTGTTTTGGTTTTGTGGACCATTTTTTTGTCCTGAAGGTCCAAAATTTGAAAAGCATGTTGACATTGTCGAAGACACGTTTTTGTGATTTCTGGGATATTGTGATTGACACAAGTTTTGAAACCAATCGCAGTTAACTCCGTATGTGTCTGTGTGTATACATATTTAGAATATTGAGTGTGTGGAACAATAATTTCCCGTAATAGGAATCCGTTTCTATTTATTTCAAGTTCTTAAGTTTATTCTATTCTGCTCATAATTTTTGCTGTTAGTCAACAAGCTTTAGAAATTGTAATTTTTTTGGTTTCAAATTATGAACTAATAGTGAAAAATCATTGGGTCATGGGGGAAGATTTTTTATTCTTTTAAAAAATTTTCATTGCAACAATATGATAATGACTGAAAAAATAAAATTTCGCATCAGTGATTATCTTCTACTACACACATCATCAAAAGTGTTGGACCCCCTGGCGTACTGGGAAACTATAGCCTTCTAATTTCAATGTTTGATATATTTTAAATTGGCGATATTTTTACTATATTTATTTAACAAAACGTTAAATTAATTTCATTAATATGAAAAGAAAAAGAAAGTTGAATAAGTAAGGTACCAAAAATTTTATTTTTATAAATCAAAATTAAAGAAAAATAATCATTCTAAAGAAGAATAAAACATAATTAATAACCAGTTCGGTGTCCTCTAGATCTTAGCAGTGCTTTAACACGCCTTGGCATTCCTATTATTCCGTGGTTAATGTTTTCTTGGGGTAAATTATACCGCTCTTCATTTACTGCTGCAGCCAGCTCATTTAGGGTTGTAGGTGGATCTATTCTGTTCCGTACGGCTCGAGCTGTAGTGTCCCAAATGTTTTCAATGGGGTTCATGTCTGGGCTGTTAGCAGGCCACGGCAATCTCACTATTTGGCCCCTTTCTAGAGCCCGCTGGACCCTTCTCGCTCTATGTGGCCTTGCATTATCATCCATAAAAATGAAGTTGTTACCGAATTCATTTTGCGAAGGTTGAATAATGGGTTGTATGACATTTTCTTCATAAATTTCTGCAGTCATTGCCCTGATATGGCACAACTTCTCGGGCCAAATTTAGTCGCTGTTGGTGTCCTGGTTCTCTCCAAACCCTTATTCTACGGTCATCACTCACCAGTCCAAACCTAACTTCATCTGTAAATACCACATTTCGCCACTGTGGTAAAAGCCACTCCTGATGTTCTGTAGCCCACTGGAGACGAGCAGCAATTTGTCTACGAGTAAGACGTGGATCCCTTAAAGGTATTCTAGGGCGCAAATTTGCCATTCGCAATCTTCTGATGGTAGAAGTGGAAATAACTCTTCGAAAGGTATGTTGAATATGCGATCTGACAGGTGTACTTGTTGAAAATCTATTCCTTAGGGCAAATAGAGCAATGTAACGATTCTCCCTATCATCTGTTACTCGAGGACGCCCACTGCATGGCCGATTTTCGACTGAGCCAGTTTCTTGGAATCTTTAAATTGTTCGAATAACCGAACTTCTTGGGATACCCAAATCCAGTGCTATTCGGTGATTTGAAAATCCAGCATGGAAGAGGGCTACTATTCGTGTTCTATCAAAACCAGAAATTTCAGCTCGCGGCATTTTAAAAGTTACAGTATAAAATTTTATTCTAGTATTTTTTGCTCAAACGCTACCGTTAAACTGACTTATTTCTATAAAAACCCAAACACATTTTTATCTCAACGGTTTTTTTGCGTTTTTTGCTTGCTAAATATATACAGATTTTTTGTTCACAAACAGAATGTAGATAACGTACCTCTAGACGGATTTATACAGGGTGTCCAACACCTTTGATGATGTGTGTGGGTTAATCAATTTTTTACATATCTGTGAATTGAATCTGATTGATTTGACCTAGGCTTGTTGACTGTGTCATCTCTCTATGTCCATTTTCGATATTTACTATTGAATTTTGAGAAGTGACATCTGAGTGAACATTTTGTACATTTTTTAGTTTGTTGGCTGTATGTTTTGATTACTAACTGAAAAATTCCAAAGCCCAGGTTGTGTCGAAAAGGTTTGTGAAGACTTTTCGAACTTACTATTATAACTATTTCAAATAGTGTCTCGGATACGTATGTGTATATATTATCGGTATTTTTAGGATGCGCTAATCTTTAGTTAACAACAATAATTTATGTAAAATAAGGTTAATTGTTTTTAAAATAATTTCCATGATTCTACGGCACGAAGTTTTTTACAGCAGCTATTATATTTATTTTTGCCATTCTGACGATCATAGCGAATAGATAACAAGCTTTAAACAAGGTGGTTATAACATTTTTATCAACACATTTCCGTCAGATGTGTTCACTTGTCATTAAGTCATTAGTTATATATATTTTATCATGGTAATCAATTAAAGTATATGAACAGATTCAGTTTTAGTGAAATTGGTAATATGCAAACGTTTGTAGTTGTTTTTTTTGCATATCTTTGGTTGCATAATAAAACCGTAGGGAGTTTTTAAATATTTTATATTAAATAAATTCATTAGACTCCCTTCAATAAAAAATTAATTGAAAAAAAAAACTGGAACTATGAAGGACAAAAATATATAGACAAAGCAAAACAGTTATAGAAAAAGAAGCAAAGTTCATTGAATTATAGAAAACCAGCCATGTTTGTGTTAATATTTTGTAGCATAACCATTATTACCAAACACCGCCTGGCATCGTCTCGGCATAGATTGTAGAAGTTTCCTACTAATAACGCATTTGTTCATGGAGCAATGAAGTATGAATTCGTTTTCTAAAGGTATTTACGTAAATATTCATATTTGTCTATATACTTGTGTCCATTACTGTATGTACATATAAATATTTTGCCTCCGAAATCTATATCCGGAGTGTAATTATTTTTTTCTATAAATGAAAAATGGCAAAACTGATCCTTCAAGTTCAAACGTAAGATTTCGCCCAATGCTGTTAAGTAACAAATTCCTGCGTGACGTAAGTTTTTCCTTGCCCTGTTTTTAGAATGTGACTCTACTTATGTCATGGAGGTTCTCTGTTTGTCAGAGATGAAGAAAATAACCTTTATTCTGTGGCCATCACACTTTGGTATACTAACTAGCACAATGTTGGCGTTCCAAGGCGAAAATCTAGAAAATGGTGGCTTCATATTTTCTGACATATAAAGGGTGGGCCGTCCGTTGGTTTCTTTTTTAAACTGGTATTAAAACTACACTCTTCAGTAATATGTTACAATTGATACTTTATTCGAAAGAATACACCTTCCGATTATTTATGAAAAACAATTTCAGTTAAATGGCTGCCGCGGCTGGTCTGGCAGTAGTCCAACCCAATTTTGAACCTCATTTTCGATAGTTTGTGGGTCTATTTCATCAATAGCTCGACGGATATTTTCTTAAGATCAATTGTTTGAGGATCGTTAATCTAACAGGGGTCCTTAGGAAGTAATGCATGGGCGTCAAATCACAGCTGCGGGCTGGACAATGAACGTCTCCAAAGCGGCTGATAACGCGATGACTCACTTGGTGTGTAAAAGATCGATTGTTTCACGGCTGGTGTGGCATGTTGAGATCCTGCTGGAATCAGAGATTGTGCAAGTGCATGTCGTTTAATAGTAGCCACAAAAAACTCCTCAACATGTCTCTATATCCTTCCCCGTTTACCGTCACGCTGTTACCATCTTCATCTTGAAAAAAGTAGGGTCCAATAAGCCCTCCACTCCAAACCGTTACTCTTCTTGGATGCATTGGTTTCTCTATGACGACATGTGGATTTTCAGAACCTCAAATCCTACAGTTCTGCTTGTTAACGTAACCTCCCAGATGGAAATGGACTTCGTCCGAAAAGATGATTTGGCGCCCAAAATTGACGTCCGTCTCCAATTGATTTAGAACCCATACAGAGAAATGATATCGAAGCCGATGGTCATTTTGTTTCAACTCTTACACAAGTTGCACCTTGTAAGGAAATAATCCCAGGACGTTATGCAATATTCTCCGCACAGAAGTGCGACTGATGCCCACTTGTTGTGCTCTGTGACGAGTTGTCATGCTTGCGTTTTGACGCACACTCTGGGCAACAGCAGCAATGTTTTCGGCTGTTCGTACGGGTCGAACACGTTCATACCTTCTGTTATCCACAGTTTCACGAACCTACTTCACGAATTCTGTATACCAGTTGCGGACGAAGCTTCATTCCAATCAAATAATCTTCTCAATTTTCGCAAAGTTTTACACAGCACTTATAAACTAAATAGTTTTGCCAATATTTCCCACCTTTGTTCAAGTTTAAAACGATCCATTGCTCACAGCGGAAGTTTGACACCATATATCTGTCAATATGTTGAAATTTATGAAACTGTTACCCACTGTCAAAATACTAACTTTCAAAAAACCAACTGATGGCTCACCCTTTATAGTTGACAACCTTTAAAGTAAAATATCACATTATGCCAAATTAAGCGAATTTTGTTGGTATGTAGCAATTTGTGTATCTTACATTTGTAATTACAACAAAAGACTACTCACTCGTTACGTATTCATATGAAGCCAATCCTGTCTCCAAGGATGGTGAGGCTCTCGGAAACCAAGTAGACCTGCGCGCTGAAAAATGTCAACATAACCTGCCGCAATCTTTATCTGCATTTCACTTCGTGGTTTATTAATATTATTCAATATTTCTGCTTGCAAGTTATCCAGACTGTCAAAATTGTAGTTATTTACAGTCGTGATATAGCAACAGGGAGAGTTGCCGCATGCGCAGAACCTGAAATTCATTTCCTGCGCAGTGTGCTTATTTACTTCATGGTCAAATTTTTTGACTTCACCACCATTCTATGCGTTCCACGTCATATCTAGTTTTCGTTAGGCGATGCATGTTCACATTTAGCTGACATCGTAATGTTTACGAGAGAGAATAGCGAAAAGCGTCCAATATGTGTGTTAGAAAGAGTGCTCCGATGGCATCAGTGGCCTCGTCACTCGGGTTGCTAGGTAACGAGGTGCTTCTAATTCTTTCTAGCACACGTATTGCACGTTTCTCGCGTTTCTCTATCGTACACATTACGATGTTAGTGGTATTTGGTTTTCAGTGTATACAGGGTGTCCGCAAAGTTGGGGTATTCCTTTTCAGAAACAACGACCCTTGAAATAACAAAGGTAATGTGTAGTGAAACGAGGTCGACCAAGTAAAAAAAAATGAAGGAAAAAGTACTCACTCTCCAGTTGACGAGAAGGGCTAAGTACGTCTCTTCCCGAAATCATACCGCTCCAACAGAAAATGAAATCAGCTGATGCGCTACTGAGCAGACGCAGGCAAACAAGGAAGGCAAAATGTTGCGTAAAAAGTCTAGGTATTGCATCCCGTCCAATCGAGTTGGGAGAATAAATGGTCCAATGAGCACCGTTCACCATGCCAGCCCAAACATTCACCGAAAATGTTTGTTGAAAATGTGCCCGACGGACAGCGTGCGGATTTTCTACTGACCAAACATAAGTGTTGCGAAATTTATTTACCCCATTACGCGTGAACGTAGATTCGTCTGTCACCAATATGCACTTCAAAAAGTCCGGATTATTGTCATGTTGATGCAACAACCACTCACAAAACCGCACTCTTGCTGGAAAATCGTCAGGTTGAAGGGCTTGTACACGTTGGACGTGAAACCGATACAGCCCCTCTTCACGCAGCGTTTGCCACACTTTAGTTTTTGATACTTGCACTTCTCTAGCCACGTCTCTAGTGCTTGTTGAGGGATTCTCGTCTACGCGATTACCTCTACACGCGTGACCGTAACCGTCGGTTGAAGGTTGCATACTGACCTGACACACTGACCCCGACCCAGTTCTGTCGTCGGGTTGAGCTAGTGTCCTAGTACCACTCGGGGATGTCGCGGCTACAGGACGGTATTCAGATATTTTTGATGTTGCAGAGCCCTTTATCTCGGTTCCCTTAAGACATTGGTGTATATGGTACTAAGAAAAATTACTTATGTTTTCAAGATCTACACGTCGTGTAAAGGAAAACCCCAACTTTGCGGACACCCTGTATATTGCAGACAACTTTTTAAAACTGCAAAGGATATTGCATCGCCGAAATCATTTCAGATAGTTGAAGGATGCCTATCCTAAGGGCTACCAACTGGCACATTTGGTAATCAATGGGTTAACAAAGATAACATTTCCAACCAACACAAGGTCATGAATAATTGTTGATCTAAGCATATTACCAATATCACATACTGAATCACCCAAAGAATGAGATATGAATCTATAATTATGCGGCTGAACCGGTTGATATTTTTAGTAATCACTATGATATGTGAATCACATTCTTCCAAGTTTTTGACCTTTTTTTTCCTTTAGTTTTTGACCTTTTTTCCTTTAGTTTTTGATCTTTTTTCCTACAGTTTTTGAGAACAGTCTACGAATATGTTACTTCATGTAGTCAATGTTTTACACTGTACAAGGAAAAACCGTACTGTCGTTCGTGATTTTGATGATAAAGTTAGTAGATATCTGATTTTCAGAAACTTTTATTGTTGATTGGCCAAACTGATCTTAATAGTATCAGCTCAAACTTATACAGGGTGTTCCTTATGATATGCGAATATTTAAGGGTGTGAATCTACATGAAAAATTATTGTTAGTTTGCTTTATAAACTATGGTCCAAAAATGTTTCCTTACAAAAACTCGTTTTAGGAAAAAAATAAAAATTAATTAATATTTTCAGAACCGCTTCAGATATTTCACTGATACGCAGCGAAAGTTAATAGAGTTGCATAGTTCTCAAAGCAAAAATAATTTTTAGCTTTAACAGTGGCGTGCGTACGGGTATTGACTTCGATATTTTTAAGATAAAATGGTACGCCAATGATTTTTTGCCAAATAAACATTATTTTTGAATTAGCCGTTCAAATTAAAACAAATAATCTCTCCTGAGTTGCTTTCCTTCGATGCGCCATTTTTGAGTAAAAAAATAAAAACAGTTCTAATGTCTAACTTGCAAAATTATTATTAATTTAATTGGAAAAATCAAACACATTAGGGGTAATGAACAACAACAACTGACAGCATAAACATAACATTGAAACCAACGAAATGATTACAAAAATTGTTGTTCACTTAGTATGCATGCTTCCGCCCTCCTTCTCATGGAATAGCGCACTCGTTGAAATATCCCTGAAGTGTTTTTTATTCTGTCACAAGCTGCAACTATTCTTTTTCTTAATTCCTCTACAGTGTTAATGGGACTTGTATACATTAGTGTCTTGAGATAGCCCCACAACAAGAAATCTAAATTGTTGAGGTCTGGGGACCTTGGTGGACTTCGTGCAGCACTGCTTCCTCAATTTCAGGTCTTCTCACACTTAGAGGTCTACCTTCAGGTGTTCCTTTTCGGACAGAACCAGTGCAACTAGATATTTGTTGCTAAATTGCATTCTTCAATTATTACATTCATTATCCCGGACAATAGAACGGCTTTTATTT